AACAAACGCCAATCTAATATATATCCACCCAAAATTCTAACCACCCTCCATCCGTAATTAAACATATACACTCCTCCATAGAATATAAGATTAGCAATAACTCTTCCAGTGAAGATGTCTTTTACAATTATAGTAAATTTTATAAAACTGCCTTTAAAATAGTGGTTATAAGCGCTCTGATATCAAATATATAAAACGTAACAACAGCGATAGTAGAAATAAAAATAGAACCAGAAAAATCATTCGGTACACACACCCACTTAACCAAATGGTTAGTACTAAGTTAGGGCAGAAGTTTCTCCATTTAATTGAGAAACACTTCCCCAGAAATAATCCACTTAGTAAGATTTTTAATAGAAATACTCTAAAACTAAGCTATAGCTGTACCGATAATCCGGAAAAAAATATTGAAAAACATAATAATAAAATTTTAAATCTATACGAAAACCTGATTAATAATTGCCATTCCAAACCAGCAAACCCAGATAATACCAACAGGTGTAATCATAAAAATTCTAACAAATGTCCATTATAAAGCAGATGCCAAACAGATTCTCTTGTTTACCTAAGCACTGTTTCCACTATAGAAAATTCAACAGTTAAAATATTTTATATCGAGAGTACCAAGAATTCCTTTAAAACTAGGTGGTACCAACATGTATTATCTTTTTCCAATAATACGTACAGAAATAGGACGTCCCTTTCTAAATATATTTAGAACTTAAAAGAAGTAAATAAAATCCCTACGGTAAAATAGAAAATACTAAAAATTTAGAACTTCTTTAAATGAACTTCTTTAAATGAACCGTGCTTATGTTTACATGAAAAAGTAGAGATAATAAAATTTGCTGTCAAAAAAAAAGGAAAAGCTCTATTGAACCAGAGGAGTGAATTAACTATAAATTGCTGACACAGTTTATCTTTTACATTAATATAATTTAAAAATTACGTATTACCATTTCATATAGACATAATCAATGAGTATATAATGATCCACCCCTTACGGCTAAGTACCTTATTTTGCTTAATTTTGCTATGTATTGCCGTCCAGTTAGTATTATTAATTATACTGCTGTTCCATTTTTAATTTTATCTATAGGCCCCTTTAAGAAGATTCCTGAATATAATTTTTTTTTTTTTTAAATTAATTTTTTTCTGTTAACTTTACGTCTGATCAACCTATCCCCCCACTTCAACACCCTTTCAAAAATTGAACATGCCATATTTGTCTACAATCACGATACATTTGTCGCTGACATATTTTCCGCAACTGCTAACGATGGCCTGTCTATGTTCCAGTTTATCAGGACATAAAAAAATAACTCACCCACCCCACCCTCTGAGCATATATATTTTTTTTATTTAGCGTAGATCTGACATTCAATTTGTTAATCAATACATGCACATAAGTCTAATTTTAATTCTGACCTTATGTTCCCCGCACTTTAATTTTCGGAAAAGAGGTAAGAATTCGTTTTTAAACTTCCTAAAAAATCATTGCCTGAAGAAGTACAAAGTATTGAAACATGAAAGTTTTTGTGTAGAGATTTAAATGATTTTATTATAATCATTTATAATAAAATTATATATATATATATATATATATATATATATATATATGGTGCATTAAAAATACTCTTACAAATTTTAGGGCCGGCTTCCTCACACCAAAACAAGGTAAAATGTCCATATAAACATATGCCCAAAAGGCCATCGTTGTACCTCAACACAGCAACTCATAACAAATATTCAAAATGCCCCCCGCTTGTTTCTACACGCACCCGTCGCATCATTGACTGGCGGACCCTTTCAAATATTCCCACACGTTGTCGAATGGTTTCGCGGGCCCTCATGACACGTTGATGGAGCGTCTGCTTCATAAATCAATTGTTTTAGCTGACCCCACAGATAAAAATCCAAAGGATTGAGGTTAGTGGAACGTGCAGGTCATGGAACCGTTCCTCCCCTATATATCCATCTTTTATGGTTGATGTCATCATGCATGAACCACATGCGTCTTCGTATTAGCAGGGGTACATCGTCTAGCAGGCCTGGAAGTGTGTTCGAAATAAAGTCCCTGTAGACAGCTCCTGTAAGACATTCTGGGAGAACATATGGACCTACGAGATAGTCTCCTATAATTCCAGCCCATACATTAATCTTAAAATGATGCTGGTGTCTATAGCCTGTATTGTACCATGGGGATTCCGATGTGTAAATTTGTTATTCCATTTCTTACAAATGTTGCCCTATCCCTAAACAAAACTGAATAGACAAACAACGGATCGGCAGTTTCATGCAATAAACCATCGGCAAAAGTTCTCTCCGTAGTTTGTGGTGCCACGGATTCCGTCTCAGCAATGCGACAATAAACAGCAGCACAGTTCGGATGACTCGGCTGCCTTCGGTCTGGAAACATAATCTGATACAGGCGTGCAGACACACGTCAAATAGTATTCGCGCGGCCGTACGTAAAAATTATACCTGCCTAATCACGATATGAATATCCTGCCATTGTTAAATGGAACACTTCTCAGTTAACTCATTACTAGACACGTTAAAATATAAGACAGACTAGCCACAAATGTACGCGAATGACATATGTAATTTAGTCAACGTAGCAATACAACGCAAGCTACCGTAAACTTTCTTTAAACTTAACTCAAAAAACGGAGGACTTGCGGGCATATGTTTATATGGACTTTGGTCCATGTTTTGGTGTGAGGAACCGCCTCAAACTTTCTAAAAGTAATTTTAATACACTATATATATATATATATATATATATATATATATATATATATATATTGAAGATTTAAACCGAAACCTTCGTCAGTAATATCGTTTAATGATACAACCCATGAAGACTGGAAATTTTACCAAGAAACATCAATGTCGGATTTAAATTGATATTTAAAAAGTTAAGTAATCTTTTCATATATATATATATATATATATATATATATATATATATATATATATACACTATCAACCATTGATTTATCACTCATTTTTTCTCCTATCATCAGACTTATTTTTTTAGTATTTGAAATTCATAGGCTTAGCGGCTTTTTTTGCATTTAATATCAAGGTGTTATATCGTGTGACAAAGGTTTCTACCATTTTTTAAAATTGATGTTACATAAACGTTCAAATATATGTGTGTGTATGCGCGCGCACACACACACACACACATAAATTAGAATATTAATTGCTCTATATTTTTAATTTTGGAAGAAAATTAGCTGCTCTATCATAAAGGTTACACCAGAAACCCTCGTCGGGAAATAATGACTCGATAACAAAACAAAGGCAAAACAACAACAACAAAAAAACATTATAAATATGTATATTGCTTTGGACCCTCCTCATATTTCACTAGATTTCAGAAAAAATATATTAGATTATGAGCCGGATGCTGAAAAACTCTCAATCCTACGCGCTTCTTCGAAATTGAACTTACCCAATTCTTCAAATCTGACCAAGCATCAGATTTTTATGGGGAAGGAACCAAGAACCTTTCAATACTCTCATCTCGTTTGTGTACATGTGCACACACACACACGCGCGCGCGCGCGCGCATGAGCATGTGTAGTCGCGTCAACGTAAACTTCACTTTAGTCTGATGAGCCTTAAAGGACGAAACACGTCACACGAAAACTTTTTCCACTTTTTGCCTAAAATTGTTTTTGATATATAAAAATTTATATATCGTTCTCCCATATATAATAATGGCTTAAATGCCGCCTGATATAATTTTTCTAGGTCATGTAATTTAGACTTTACTTCTTGTTCTCTTGTGATTTATTTTTAAAATATTTTGAACATATTGTCTGGATAAATTTAAACCATTTTGTAATTTCGGTCTGATGAGGCGGGAATTAAAATCTTATCTGCTGAAATAAATTTATTAACGAATTTTTCGATGATGTGTTAAGTTTTTTCCTTTGATATATATATATATATATATATATATATATATATATATATTAATTAGAATTTCTTTTTTTCCTTCCAATTCATATATATATATATATATATATATATATATATATATATATATAATTGTATATTTGGGCAGCAATCCTTCTTTTATACATGTTTCGCTAAAGACGACTGTTAAGTTACTGCAATTAAGCTTTTTATTTAATTTTTCTTTTGTTCGTATAAGTGTTTACTTTTCTGAATATAATGTATGTGAAAGTGTTCAAATTTTCCGCATATCCGGACGTTGTCCGCTATTCTTTTAGCCGTTTTCAAAAATGGTTTATATTTATATTTCTGACTGAATATATGGATTTTTTTATGTATGTATCTAGACTTATAGGAATGTTTTGTTGTTTTTTCCAAACACGGTCAGCACATTATGGCCGTGTTAATATTTGATGTTATTCATTGTTGATTCTTTTTTTTATTATTAAGCAATAAACAAGATTTAGTTATAAATTTAAGTCAGCATTATTTTTTTTAGCTCACTATTTATATTTTCCCTTTAACGATTACGAATGCATCTTGAACGCACAGCCTGTCGTTTGCGACCATGTGTTTGTACTCAATACAACCTGAGGTAAGTTCAGTTCCATGCGTCACCGATGATAGCGTCCGAAGGAGCGGAACAGATGTAAACGGCAACTCGTTATTCTGTTCGCTCTTATTTCTAACCTCCCTTACTTTGCTGCGCTTTTTCTTTTTCTTTTTTTGTCTTCTGCTCTTGCTACCCACCTAAAACATGCAATCGCTCTTCTCAAAACAAAGAAAATCTCTAGGAAATACGCAAATAAACCCCCGACGAAACGAGAAAGAGATACAAAACTTCTCTCCATCCGAGATGTAACTGATGCATTAAAATCATTAATATTCTTCCGTAGTTTATTTCTTTAACAGATTCAATTAATATCGTGTAGATTTTTTAATATTCATTCCATTCTTTAACTAACTGGTCACCAAATACAATTCCCAAGAGACAATCAAAGTCGAGGTTTACCCAATTAAGTTACGGCTTACGATCAAATCACCAATGAATCACCGGTTCAAGTACGATCCCAGAAATTAAGCAACATCAAGCCTAGTCGGTACTTATATGGGTAACTGCTTGGGAATAACAGGTGCTGTAAGCTTGGATGTGCGGGTGGTGTAATGGATAATGACTCATGACTAATGACTAATCGTAGAACCGAGTTCCAATTCTCGTTCGGTTCGTTATATTCACTTACGCGCATATACCCTTGGGAAAGGTATGAATCACCTTTTTCCCCCAGCTATGGGTTAATTATTAAGACTTGTGTCAGTCAGTTATGTGTCATGCGTGATACACGCGTAAGTGATCATGTATATTTCGATACATGACTGACGAGGCAGATTTTTTCCAGCAGTAAGTTGCCATTTCTTTCTGCGGTAGACAAGTTGCCATCCAAGGCAATAGAAACCGATCTGTCCTGCTATTTACCCATAGCTGGGCGGAGAGAAAACGAGGATTCATACCTTTCCCAAGGTTGTTAGCACGTAAGTGTATGTAATGGATTCGACTTGAATTCGAACTCGGCTCTCCGATTCCTCAATCCGAGCCGCTATCTATTACATCACTAAATCATTATTATCTCCAAAAAAATAAATTCTTACCATTTAAAAATGTTTTCTGGCTTTAAATAACCTACAAAGGTTGGTAAGCTGTAGAAAGTGAACCAATCAATCCAGTTGTTGTATAAACCTAAGGGGATATAAGAAGTGGTGATTGTGAAGATATCTAGGAAAGATAACAGTAGATCCTAAACTTGAAAATAGTTAAGATTGTAACAATCGGGAAAGTATCCACTTGGAAGTCTGTTCCACAAAGCAGCGTCTCTTGGGAAGATACTGCCTGAATGGGACTTCCTTCTTGTTTATGAAATACAAAGGGAATGAGAATGATTCGTCCCTGTGTACATTGACGTTTCAGCTAACCTGATGAATATTAATGAGCGTTCCTAACTCAAATATTTTGAAAACACAATAGCATTTTTACTCTTGTATATAAATACTTGTTACAAAATAAAATGCTCTCATTTTACGTTGATAAAGTGCCACAGTGGGCGGAACGCGTCGGCTAAGATAAATTTTCCTTTTGACTTTATTCAAATTGTTTTTAAGGATATACTCTATCTGAAATTTTTACAGACACACACACACACATATACGTATACTATGCATATGTGATGTATGTATTAGGTTCATTTTTTTTTTTTTTCGTAAAATACATCTATTGGATGCTTTAGTACACATCATCAGTGATGTTTCTAGCCGAGGTTTATTAGGGGTTTCGGGTTTTTCAATATCTCCACGGTGACTCAGCCGATACTGATCGGATATCGACTTGTGTACCTTCCTTCATTTTTTTCCATCTTTCGAAGTACACACCATACGACACTTCTTATCAATTTATTGTCGAATCCCGGATGTCTCCCGGTTTACCAGCAATGTGCGCTCTTCCATAAAAAAAGGAAGCAAACTCAGCCACAATTTCAAACTGATCAGGAATATGGCGGCGTGCTTGGCTTGAAGTGGTAAGTATATATATATATATATATATATATATATATATGGTAATTGGTAATAATTCTTTTATACAAGAATGGTTTTATTTTTACTTTTAACTGAATATTTGGATTTTTTTATGTATCTATGTAGGGTAAGAGGAATGTTTTTATTTTCCAAACATGATCAGCTCATTGAATAGCAGAAAGCGGTTGAACATACAGAACATTCGGACAATTTCTACATAATCTGTGTCCAGAAAAGAAAAAATTATAAGAACACAAGAAAAAAATTAGATAAAAATTAGAACGCAGGATCGTGTCAGTCGTTTTTAACGATATATATATATATATATATATATATATATATATATATATATATATATATATATATATATTCAATTTTTCATTTAAGCAATTTTTTTTATTTTGTTTCTTAAAAATTAAATACAAATATCCGATTTAATTACATGTATTTCATGTATATACATATATATATTATATTATATATATATATATATTATATATTATACGGCAGTCTTTTTCATTTAAGCAAAGGATCTCTTTTGATAAATTTTATCAATCTGGTATTAAGAAATGAACTTGATCAATATTTCAAGATTTACTTACGTTTTTATGATAAATATACTATTTGCATTTAATTTTTGAGTTTTTATCATGAAAATGTAAAATAAGTGAGATTTTATTATGCCACTCGAAGGTCATTCATCCGTTTGAAGGAATTATTTATCTATATATATCTATATCTATTTATATATATTATAGATATTATATATTATATATTATAAAAGAAGAGCCAATTCTATGTCCGTCACGCCCTGTCTGCGTGTAACTTTGCTTGTATATAATGCACATGTATATGTCTGTTGTGCGTGAGCAACAAGAAGGCATTGAAATAATGCATTCCCTTTCACCTCACTCTGAAAAAATCCGGCCCTGGGAATAACAATAAAATCATAATGTTAGAGACAAAAAAAAAACTTTTTAAGCCCTAAAAAATCAGATAATTATAATATAATTATAAGATTTTATCAAACTTTTGGAAACTATTTGTTAATAAAAAAATATTTATATATATATATATATATATATATATATATATATATATATATATATTTTTTCATTGGAAATATTTTTTGTCTGTCATAGAAATAAAATATACATGCCCAGTCGCGAACGTATACAGACGCTTAATTTGAAGGAAATTTAAATGAGCATCTGTGTCATCAAGTCTAATTTCTGCCAACAACCTCTGGGTTAGCAGAAAAAGATTATAAGCCAAAATCTTCTTTATGGAGTCATTTTTATGACTACTGTATTTGAAGTGAATATATGTTCTAATGAATGTAGTATTTTAAAGAGACAAAAAATACATTACAATCATTGATATTTATTTTTTAATTTTAGATATATAAAGATTGTTACGAGTCGCAAGAAAGACTTAACCTCAAAAGAGAATATATTGTGAAGTTATTGACCGATGGGAAGCCAATGTTGAAACAATCAAAAAAGAAAGGGAAAACATTGGAAAGATAAAAAAAAGAGAAAAAAAAAGAGTTGTTGAATTAGGAACACGTGCCGTTTATTTCCTGCTAGAAGGTCCAACTACAAGAAAATGGCGAACTCAAACTGAGTCCAACCAAAGATGTAAAGAAAACAAACAAATATATGTATTAAACAACAAATTTACAAGTGACAAAGACATCAACATTTGTGTTTGCGTATGGACGTAAAAAGTTTGTATTTTGGTGAATGTTCGTACGTACGTGTATGTGTGTTTCATGGCATTTTCCCATAAGTGGGCGAAAACGCTGATTTCTACGAGAGATTACATTTTTAAATGCGTCCGCTGAAAATCAAAGTAAAAAGAGAACGAGGCAAGAAGTTGCCCAATATTTATAGTATAGGGAGAGCGACCCCTAGTGAATAATTAGGGAATTAAGGAGGAGCTAACTCCGACAAGTCCATATTAATATGTAAAATAAAATAATAATTATTCATGAAAGTTACCATCAATGCTTTTTAATAAGGTTAAATAATATATTTAATAGTATAAGAAGTGAATTGTCAGTGGTAGTACCTTTGCAGCGAAGCGGTCGACCTTGCTTTTCAGGTGAATTGAGAACTGTACTGGTCCAACTCTCACACATGGCTCCGAGAAATCGCATGGACACTGCGCTGGTCACACTCCGGTCAGCGGCATCGACCTGACGGCTAAACGGTGTGAAGATAGTCGGAAATGGTTTCTCCTCAATCCACTTCTTCTCCTCAACCCACCTGTGCCAATCTGCCATTGGCCAGTCGCTAGCCTGGGTGTAGGACCTGAAGCCCAGAGGTCAACGGCTTTACCAGTGGGCGAAGGAACTTCTGAGAAGAGGGACAGGGTAATTCAACATCTCCGGTGCAAAAGAAACCGGCAAGCCATTGCACTACTTTGCTTTGAATGTCACCATGAACCACAATTATAACAGGAGTGCGGATAACCACAGCGTCGCAAAATGCGCTAACTGGATAGACGATGATGAGGATGAAGAAGAAATAGTATAAACTAGGTATCCCCATTAATTCGCCCCCAAAAATATAGCATGATGAAAAAAGGCCCCAAACTTAATAAAAAGGAAGTTTTATCGTCAAAGGGTTTATGCTATTATTAAGAGGAAATACTAAAGTATTTTTTAATATTTTATTCATTTTTGAATCCTTTCTAGCACGTTGGAAATTTTGATTAAAAATTTTGTTCTTTTATATCAACAGGCTACGTAATATTTACAATTAGTTTTATAGCGCCATTTTTAGTTTTTTCGCACCATGTGAAAAACACATTGATTTGGATATTCTTGCATAAATCAAATAATTGTCGGATTTTAATAAAACTTTTAGAACTTATTCACAAGTGAATGAAATTATTTTCAACATTTTTTTTTTAGAGTCATGATAAACATATTTTTTACATCTATTACCCTCTACCCTTAATTAAGTTTATGAAAACTCGAGAAATTCGTTGACGTGCCTTTTTGTGATTATATTCGTTAAAAGCAGAAGACTTTGAAGAATATAAATCATTGGGCTTTGTTTGACCAGAAACCCCACGTGGCCGAGCGGTTAGACACTTCAGATCCAATGACGTTTCCCCATGCAGGTTTTTTTTGTAAAATCGAAATAAACAGCTACCCAAATTCCAGTTCTGAATTGTAAAATACAAAAACCCAATAAAACTAAGACATTATTTAATTAAAAAAAAAAAACTTTCAATGGCTTTTATGAATAATATGTTAAGGACAATATTATCTGAAGCCAAAATATTTTTCCAATGAACTGTTTTCTATTATTTTTTTTTTTCATTTTGAAATACAAAATGTGATAAATGGGTTAAATATTTTAAAATTAGGTTTCAATCCGTACCTTTTAGTGAATGCTTTTATTAAGTAGATCTATTTTTACAGATCATAATTTGAAAGCTTATTACAATCACAGATATTTTTAAAATATTTTTTGAGTATGTAAAAAAAGTTTTAAAAAAGTTTTTTTTTCCAAATATATGGATGGACGTGTGAGACATAAACGCCACATGTTTCAAGAGTTTTG